ACAGCAGCCGTGATGAGGGCTGTTGTAGCCAACTCCCTGTGCCAGCTGGATGGATCCAAATCATCTGTCCCCACCAGCAGTTCTGAGTTCTGGCAGCAGGAACTGTCCCAGGAGCTCTGCTCTCGGTGGATGCCATCTCTGTGTGCAGTGCCTGCTTTTGGAAGTGGGGACAGGCAAAGCCACGTGCTTCAGACTTGACTGCAAAGGTCAAGTGTGGGCTCAGGAGCTCACAGCCTAGGGCCTGTCCTGTCCTGTCCTGTCCTGTCCTGTCCTGTCCTGTCCTGTCCTGTCCTGTCCTGCAGGCTCAGGCTTCCTTAGCAATTGCCCCGGCGTGTTGCGGTGCCAGCAGCGGCCAGCAGGTGGCGGGCTTACCTTCCACCACTGAGGAGATGCTTCCTAGGTGCTCATCGCTCACAGCGGCCAGCTTCTCCATCACCAGGACCTGCCTGGAGAGCTTCTCCAGGAGACTTCGGGCCACAAAGGGGGTTTTGCTGGAGAAGACAATTTGCTGACAAGACAAGTGAAAACTTTCAGTGATGCCGAGGACAGTGACCTCGCCTCTGTGCCCTTTGCGAACAGGACCCTGGGCTGAGCTCTGGGTGCTTTGCCCCAGCCTTCCCTGGCAGCGCATGAAATCAGAGCAGGTGTCGTTGCATTCAGCTGTTTTCACACCTGCATATGTTCTGGTATTTTCTCAGCAGCAGAGCTTCAAGTTATTGCAAATTTTCATTCCTCCCTCTCTTCCCTATTTTTTATTTTAAAATTATTTTTATGTGTATTAGTGTTTTGCCTGTGTGTATGTATGTGCACCATGTACATGCAGTGCCCGCAGAGGCCAGAAGAGGGCATCAGATCCCCTGGAACTGGAGTTGCAGGTGGTTGTTAGCCACTGTGTGTGTGCTGGGAACTGAACCCAGGTCCTCTGTAAGAGCAGACAGTGCTCTTAATTGCTGAGCCATCTCTCCAGAGCCCCTTCTTCTTTTTTAAGACAGGGTCTACTATATGGTTCAGACTAGCCTGAAACTATGTAGCCCAGGCTAGCCTCAAACTTCCAGTCCTTCTGCCTTAGTTCCCAAGTGCTGGGATTATGGCTATGAGCCCCATGCCCAGCTCTCTTTCCTTCTATGCAAACTTGATTCTCTTTGCAGCTTGTAGGCATATTTGGGCTGCATCACGGTGTACAGTCAGAAAAGGGTCTGTTTTACAAGTGCGGGAATTTTTCACAGCATGCTTCTCTCGTTCCCAAGTTGAAAATTAAGAGCAGTGTGCACACTCAACATTACCACAGTCAGAATATCCCGTTTTAATTAAACAGCATTTGCTGTGTCATTGGCACAGGTCTGAGCCCTATACACAGTGACCCATGGAGGCATGTCCTACTGATGTCTCCATTTCATTGATGGGGAAACTGAGGCATTCAGTAACTGGCCTAAGGTCACCTGAGCAGTCTCTGGTTTGACTTGTGTGCAAGTTGCAAGGACAAGGCAGTCTGAGGCAGGAATGATCTGCTGTTCGATGGCTCTGTCCTGTGTCCCTTGGGGACCTGCCCAGCTCAGCTGGGGTGTGGATGATGGGAGTGAACGGTGGGCATGGACGGTGGGCATGGCTGCTGAATGAGGAACCGTCATACCACACTGTAGCATTTGAACTCTAAAACAAAAGGCATTCTCCAACTGCAGAGTCCAGGAGTAAAGAAGTAGAGGCAGGAGGATTAGGAGTTCAGGGCCCTCCTGGGCTACATGAGATCCTGTCTCAGAAACCAAAACCAAAGTCTCCTGGTCATGCACTAATGAGTAAGTACAGTGGAATTGTACCCCATTTTAAGCAGAGCTACAATGATCTCATAGAGTGCTCATTTAAAAAAATTATTATTTTTTGAGACAGGGTCTCCCTGTAGCCCAAACTGGCCTAGAACTTACTATGTAGACTAGGCTGGCATTGAACTCACAGAGATGGGTAGGATTAAAGGTGTGTACCACCACACCAGGCAAAAAAAGTTATTTACTTTTATTTAGGTGTATGAGTATATTGCCTGCAACAGTGTTGTGCAGTGCCTGTGGAAGCCAGAAGAGAGCACTGGATCCTCTGGAACTGGAGTTACAGATAGTTGTTAGCTGCCATGTGAGTGCTGGGAACTGGACCTGGGTCCTCTGCAAGAGCAGCCAGTGCTCTTAACTACTGAATTAGTTCTCCAGCCCCAGAATGCCCATTTTTATCCCTCTGAACTCTATACTAAACAATGTGGAAGTGCCCTGATTCTGGAGTGACAGTCCTTGGGACACAGCGTTTGCAGCCCTCATTCTTGGGCCACTTCTTTACATCCATCTCTTGCTTTTTGTAGCACTGATCTGCTCCACAAGAGAGTTGGGCTGTCGATCATGGCCCTGCTAGAGAGGAACAGTGTGCACTGACTGTTGCATGTTCATCACCCGTTCATGGACAAGAATTCTCTTGGGTCTCATAAAGTAGCTACTTTACCTCCAAAGGGTTGGTTTGCTAGTACAGTATCAGAGCCAGCAAGGCTAATTATAGACATAAACCATCTTACTCCAGTGGGTGGTAAACAGTGAACAGTTATAAGGACGCAAAGATCCTTTGTTTGTTTGTTTTTGAGATTTTGGGCTCAGGCTGGCCCGGAACTCACTATGTAGCCCAAGCTGGCCTCAAACTCGCAGTAATCTTTCTGTCTCAGCTTCCCAAATCCTGATATTATAGGCGCAGCCACCACATTTGGTTCCACTTGATCAGGAAAGAAAACCACACCTCTGTGAGGCTGGTTGTTAATGCCATGGTTACAACCTCAACACTCAACAGAAGAGTTCAGTGGGGTTCGGCTACCTAAAGGCAAGAGTTCTGGCAGCCAGTTCATTTCCCACAGTACATAAGCACATAGCTTTCATCCCTGCTTCCCCATCAAGTGCTTCCTCCTCCTCCTCTTCCTCCTCCTCCTCTTTCTGTTCTTCCTTCTCTCTTGAGACAGTGCTTTGTTATGTAGCCCAGGCTTGCCTTGAACTCATGATCCTCCTGCTTCAGGCTCCTCAGTGTTGGGATTACAGGTGTACACACACACATCAAGATTCTTTCTCTTGTAGAAAATCACATCCCTTTTCATGTCACATAAGCATGTGACTAATTGCCCTGTTCGCCGCCTTCCCAGGGCTCCCAACTCCTCTCCCTGCCCCTTGCATTTGATCGACTCCGGATACCTCTCCTCTTCTTTCTGCAGCCTTCCTGAGTGGCTCATTGCCCTGAAGTCATTTTTACAATTGCTTCTCTGTTCTAACCTTGCTCCACATACCTACCCCTAAGCAAGCTGATCAAGATTGAGAGAAGCCAGGTGGCCAGAGAGAGAAGAAACACTGGAATCCAGGCTGTGCAGGATAGCCGAAGGCCTTCCTGTGGCTCAGTGGTTAAGAGCACTGGCTGCTCTTCCAGAGGACCAGAATTCGGTTCCCAGCACCCACATGGTGGCTAACCGTTCCTAACTCTAGTTCCAGGGGATCCATTGCCTTCTTCTGGCCTCCATGGGTGTTGCATGACGTGGGTCCACTTACATATATGCAGACAAAACACTTATACACATAAAATAAAAATAAATAAAAAGATTTAAAAAAGAGAAATGCTAGTTGAAGCCAGGCTGTAATCCCAGTACTTGGGAGATGGAAGCAGAAAGGTCAGGTGTTAAGACCAGCCTTGGCTATGTAGCAAGTTTAAAGATAGCCTGTGCTACATGAGATCCTGTTTCCTAAACAATTTTCTCATTTAGTGTTTGGGGAACACGGTTTGCCTCTGTAAGCACTTTGTTCTTAGCTCTGTAAGTGGTAGAGACGTTCACACTAAAACGCGTGGTGACACTGTCTTTGTCCCAATCCTCTCACTGACCATGTTCTATTGAGATGACAACCCAGGCTTCAGAAAGGATGGGTGTGCCATGGTGCTCCTGACTTGGCTCACGTCAAAGCAGGAACATTTCCTTATTCCTGAACTCCCATTTCCCTGGCAACTAAACCATGAAACACGCATGCCTTCCTGGCTCAGAAGTGCCCTGGGCTCCCACACTGGGGTTCCTACCTGAACGAGCTGGGTGCAGTACTGTAGGTGTCTGATGATGGTGATGTCCAGGCTCTCGTTTCCTGTGGTCAGTGGGAGCGGGCTCCCTGCCACGCTGGTCCCTACACCTGTGTCTTCAGTTAGAGCTTCACTAAGGTGACCCCTGGCTTCCGGGTGAACTGACCTGTAACTGTGAATCAGGAAAGTGAACAAACCATGGCCAAGACAACGTGGCTGGTGTCAGTCCCTCAACAGCCCTTCCCTGGCCTGCTCTGAAAAGCAGACACCGTTCAAAAACAACGTAGTTCTGCGAGGCGGTCAATCCGCGTAGCATCAAAAGACCAAACAAATGCTGTGTGCTTCCTGAGCACAATGAGCTGTTTATCAAGCAGTTTCCCTGAGAAGTCCTCAAACCAGCCCTCATTCTGCCCTTGCCCGGCCTGTGAATAGGAGGACCTGCCAGCATCTCTGGATTAAACTGTCCTCTGCGTTAGCGCTTTCCCAACAGTCATTCCATGAACAAGTCATCTCTTGGCCGCCCCCTGGCCTCCGACAACTGCTACTTGAGAAAGGGAAGCAGAACAGACGAAGAGGAAAGGTAGGAGGGAGTCTTAGAGCTCGGCTCCGCTACTCGCGGCCTTTCTTCAAAACCCAGTGCCAAACTGTCTACGGTTATAGCGTCATGGAAACTCATATTTACAACATTTGGTTGTTGTATGATCTAATTTTCTTCTTCCTTCTCTTCTTCCTCTTCTTCCTTCTTGAAGCAAAGTCTCAAGCAGCCTCAACTTGCTGAGCTGAGGCTGGCCTTGAACTCCTGATTTCCTGCCTTCACATCCTAAGTGCTAGGATTATAGGCGTGCTCCACCAGGCCCAGTTTATTATTATTATTATTTTTATTTATTTATTTATTTATTTATTTATTTATTTATTTTTTTCTTTTTGAAGCAGGGTCTCCTTGCAGCCCCAGCTGTCCTGGAACTCACTATGTAGACCAGGCTGGCCTTGAACTCACAGAGATCCTCCTGCCTCTGCCTCCCAGGTGCTGGGATTAAAGGCATGCGCCACCATGCCTGGCAGTTTATTATTTTTAAATGGACATTTACATTCTTTTATTTTATGGTTTCAAATTTACAAATAAAATTTACATGTATCTGGATGATTTTATGATCTGAGACTACATAGAATTTTTATTTTCAAAAATGAATTTCTTATATACTGTTGAAACAATCCATCCTGATTCAAAGAATGAAACCACCATGACGTATCTAACGCTTACTCTTAAAGCATTCTGTTTGTTTTTTTTTTTTTTTTTTTTTTTTTGAGACAGGGTTTCCCTGTAGCCCCAGGTGGCCTAGGACTCACTATATAGATCAGGCCGGCCTTGATCTCACAGAGATTGTACACATTATAATTGTATTGTATGTTCTAATATTTATAAGGGTTAAACATTTTGGGGGAAAGGAACTAATTTTTACATTTCAGGATCATTTGACATGGATTCTCTATCTCCTAATCCTGCTGAGACTTTAAAAAGTTGTTTATACATTATAATCGCTGTGTGTGTACAATGGGGGTGTGGGGCACACGTGCCATGGCGTGTGTGTGCAGGTCAGATGACAACTTTGTTGACTCTCTTCTCTCCTTCCACCTTGTGGGATCCGAGGACTCAGCTCAGGCTGCCAGGCTTGTGTGGGAAATGCTCTCCCTGCTGAGCCCTCTTGCTGATCCTCTGCTGAACTGTGTGTTGTGGGCATCGTGGGAAACCTCAGAAAGACTCAGAATCTTTATAAGAACCACCTTCTTCATAATTATGTCCAAGTTTACCATTTAAATCACTTACATATTTTTGTGTATTTTCATGTCTTGAAAATTTTACTCTGCTTTAAAGAAATTAACTGTTCAGGCTAGCACACAGAGGAACGGCTTTGAGGCTTCATACTGTGCGTCACCTTATTCTGTGTTCACTCGTTCCCTCCCCCACGGCCAGACCATGTGCCCCTAATTTAATTTCTTATGTGCTTGGGAGGGGCTTGCCTCATTTTGCACACAGAGGGCTTGACAAGGGGGGTGTTGACGAGCGTGCCGAGTCACGCAGGTGAACAGGGACAAAGCACCTTGGCCCTTGGGCTTCACACTCTGCCGTGTCCACAGAGCAAAGCTTAGGAGCTTTGAATACTTTCCCTGGCCACATTTTGCCTTCAAGGACCATGCTCAGCTTGTGTCCTGGCAGCCGACACATATTTAAAACATGCACACTACATGTGCACACTCACATGCATATACTCACACATTCACATACATGGACGCTCTCACGGTGCACAGACTCTCACACGTTTACAAACACATGTGCACACATATGTAACCTATACACATTCCTACAGTCACACATGTACACACATGCACATACACACATGTACCTGCACACATGTGCACACATTCATACATACACACACCTCTTTGTAATGTTTCTGATGACAAACACTAACACTTATTTAATTAGATTGAAAATCAGTGTTCTGTAGAATGTTTTGGGGGCCTGGAGAGTTGGCTCAGCGATTAAGAGTTTGATTCCCAGCACCCATATGGCAGCTAACAAAGGATCCAACACTCTCCTCTGCCCTCCATGACATGAGTGCACTTATACATGCAGACAATACACTCATACACATAAAATAAAAATAATAAATAAAATATTTTATTTTTAA